CTAATATATTTATAAATATATATATATATATATCTTTTTAAAAAGTTTGTAAATTTTTTATACAAAGTTACCAAATTTTTATTTCAAACTACAAAAAAAAATTTCTGAAAAAAAAAAAATTTCTAAAAAAAAAAAAAAAGATTTCTATCATAGAGTTACAGGAGGATGTGCTGGTGATGATTTAACATACCTCAGGATCAAAAATGTCTCTAATAAATAAATTTATATATATTTAAATATAAATAAACTCTTATAAATAAATTTATCTTTATTGAAATCAGTATATAATTTGAAATAAATACAATAAAAATTGTGGTTTACAAGATTTTACACGTATTAGTGTATTATTCATTGACTTAAGAGATGGTGTGTTATTTGGATGCTTGTTTATTTAGATTCTTCTGAACTTTGAATTTAATTTATAAGAAAACAAAGATCTACAAGATAAAATGAAACAAATCTCTTTAATATCAAGTCATGTAAATAGTATATCTGAAAAGACATATAGTAAAATTGTTATCAAAAAAAAGAACATAAAGATACAATAAACACAAAGAAGTTAATAATGGACAATATTAAATCAAAAGAAATAGGAGTCAACATATTCAAAGTCCAAAATAATGAAGTAATCTTACATTTTAATTATGATAAATCAAAAGATAAACTAAATCAGGAAATTAAAGATAAATTAAGTGTAAATGTCTTAGTTCAAAAAAGGTAATAAAGAAAAAATAAAAGGGATTGAGTTTAAGATTACCAAACACAATAAAGTAATCAATGAGATATTAGCAAACAATATAATTTTTTTTTTAAACATCTTCGCTTTCAACAAGGCTGCAAGCAACCACTAATTAGTGTTGGAAATTATTGGAAGAGAAAAGATGGAGATTATAGAGCAAGATAACGATTGACAGACAACTTAAAAGATTGCAAATTATGAATCAGGAAAGCAAGATGAAAGAAGCAAATTCCAAAGAACTGATGTTCGAGGAAAAAATCTAGACGAATAAGAGTTTTTGGAGCACTTAGGAACAGTAACAGAAAAAGGATGAGACTTAATTGAATGACGAGTAATTCAAGAGTGAATTTTAGTAGATGGTACAAGAGACACTAGCTCTTTAGAGCAGCGCCCATTATAGTATTTGTAGAAAAGAGAAAGAGAAGCAACATTACAACGATGTGATAATGATTGAAGGCTGGCTGCAAGAACAGGTCCAACTATGTTTACAATAGGTTTTTGTACCTCGTCTAAAAAAGAAAGGGCATCATTAGAAGATCTGCCCCAGATATGGCAACAGTATTCCATACAAGGCCGGATTTAAGATTTATAGAGATAGAGAACAGAATCCAGAGTAAGAAAGTGTCGAGCTTGATAATGAAATGTAACTTTAGCAGATGCTAATTTTGCAACGGATTTGATATATGGTTTCCAAGAAAGATCAAAAGTAAGAGTTAATTCTAAAAGATGAAGGGTAGATGACTCATCAATTACATTACTGTTCATAAATATAGAAAGATCTAAATTATTGTGATAACAATTGGCTGAAAAAAAATTGAGTTTTATCTGAATTAAAGTTCACTAGCCACTATGAGCCCCATGCTGTAGCAGAGGTGAGATCATTTTCAAGCTCAAATGCCCCCTCCAAGCAATCAAAGAGAGTTGGCTTCTTATCACGACAAGAATAAATGGTAGTATCATCAGCGAACAATGCTAACTTAGATGTGAGAATATCTTGGAGATTGTTAATATAAATTAAAAAGAGTATAGAGCCAAGGATTGAACCTTGAGGAACCAATGAGGTTACAGAATAAGAAGAAGAGTGCTGTTCATCAAGGACAACTTTTATACTACCATTGGAAAGGAAGGATTCAATAAACTTAAAGATGCTTCCAGATACACTGTGAGAAGTAAGTTTATGGAGAAGACCAGCATGCCAAACTTTATCAAATGCTATAGAAATGTCAAGACCAATGGCCTTAACTTCTCCACCTTTAACTAATGCGCGATAAAACCTATCAGTTATTACTGATAGCAAATGAGCCATTCAACAAGAAGATCGAAATCCATATTGATGATCAGAAAGTAAGTTATTAGATTCAAGATAAAAAATTAAGTGTTTGTTAATTAAAGATTCAAAAACTTTGCTTATAATAGGAAGAAGACTAATGGGACGGTAGTTAGACAAAACAGATTGCACTCCAGAATTTTTAAAAATAGGGATAACAGATGCTGCTTTCCAGCAGGCTGGAAAACAAGACTCTGATAAGCATTTGTTGAATAGTTTTGAAAGGATAGACAATAGCTCCAGAGAACACTTCTGCAAGACTATAACAGGTATATCATCCGAGCCACAAGCTGTAGAAAAGTCTAAGCAGGAAATCACTTTAGATACAGAAGCTGGAGTGATACAAATATCAAGAAATAGATCAACCTGTTTGACCGCTATATCAGGTAGAACAAAAATATTGGAATCAAGAGATGATATTGATGAAAAGTTCTTATCAAACAATTCAGCTTTTTCTTTAGGCGAGGCAACAAAGTCTGAACCATACAAAAGAGGTGGAATCACAGACTTGCCCTTATTATTGATACTATTAAAGATTTTTTAGAAGTCACAAGAGCATGATTTTTGTGATGAAATTGTGACGAGATTTCATGATCTGAGAATACTGGGCTTATGCATTAGACAAAACCTTTTTACAATGGTTCCTAGCAGTAATGAACAGACTTCTGTTTTCTGGAGAATTGTTTTGCTGATAGATATGGAAGTAATGGTTTCGATTGGCAATTGCAGCAGCACAATGTGAGGAAAACCATGAAGAAAAGTGAGGGTTGACCTGGAATTGAATTCTTACGAATGCAAATGCTCAGGCCAAACATATGACTATTGGAGTCTTTACGAATTAAAGGAAGATAATCATCAACACTAAGATCACAAGATGAGACTGCTGAACTCAAATTAGTCTCACAAAGAGCAAGTAGGTCTGGTGAATTTTGCAAGAGATAAGACTCAACAGAAAAGTTACTTAGAAGAGCTCTAAATAACTTGAATGATAGTTCTATAGATACGGTCCACAAAATGATATGCAAATATTAGTTTTCGAAAATGGTTGCGCCAAAAAATCATTTTCTAGATCGTATTTATTTTTTTTGTTTTACGGAGTTCATCGATCACACAAATCATCTAAACGTGCTATATTTTTCCAATAATAGATGGTTAACTAACCAATAATTGGGTGTTGGATTCGATTTTTAAAACATGTAATAGGTGTCTTTTATAAAGACGTATTTTAAAATACATATGAAAGATGTCTTTGCTAAATATTTTTTATTTTCATCTTATGATGTGTAAATACGTGTTTTTTTTTAATCAATTCGGTTTCAGAAAAAAAATTGCCAATATTTAGATAATGATACTATTTTAGAAAAAAGTTTAGAAAATGATACTATTTTAGTATCATTTAGTATCAAATAGTATAAAATTTTAACTATAAAAAAATTAACTTAATGCCTAAATTTAGAACCGCCTCAAAATCTCAGCAAAACCAAATTGTACAAAAAAAAATCCTAAACCAATTTGGTACCAAAATCGCTACCCTTTTAAAACCATCTGCTACAATATACTATTTGATTAAATTTGACAAAGAAAATGAATGTAGAAAATTAGCTGAATAGGTTTAAGTACATTTAAACATTTAAAAGTTTAACTCATAAATAAAGGTATATATATATATATATATATATATATATATATATATATATATATATATATATATATATATATATATATATATATATATATATATATATATATATATATATATATATATATATATACCTATATATATATATACCTATATATATATATATATATATATATATATATATATATATATATATATATATATATATATATATATATATATATATATATATATATAGACATACATTTATTGCGTATCTTTTTAACTCATTCTTTTGTCATTTCTTTTTGTTTTTGTACAATATATATATATATATATATATATATATATATATATATTATATATATATATATATATATATATATATATATATATATACATATATATATATATATATATATATATATATATATATATATATATACATATATATATATATATATATATATATATATATATATATATATATATATATATATATATATATATATAGACATACATTTATTGCGTATCTTTTTAACTCATTCTTTTGTCATTTCCTTTTGTTTTTGTACAATATATATATATATATATATATATATACACAAACATAGATACATACATACATACATACATACATACATACATATATACATACATACATACACACATACATACTAGGGATTGTAATACTGGCTATCGGTTTACCGGTTTACCAATAAATACCTAAATTTAGTTCACGCTTTTTACCAGTAATTTTTTGTAATTTACTGGTAAATCAAGCTTTTTGCTATGTAAGTTTTAATTCCTAATTTTTATTTTTATTTTTTTTATTATTCACCTTCCCAAGGCCTGAGGGGGCCACTACAGTTGAGGAGGCTACTCATTTTTTTTTTTTTTTTTTTTTTTTGTTGTAAATTGTGGTACAACCCTCTCTCAACTCTTTTACTCCGAAACACGAACCTTGACAAGCAACAACACGAACCTTGACAATTGCTGAATATTTTTATCTAATAAAGAACATACAATAAATAATAAATAAATTATTTATTTTTTTGTCAATAGATTAAAAATTAAAAATATAAAAGTGTTAATCATTCTTTTGTTTGAACTTAACACTTAAATTAAACAACGTTTGGAATAGATGTTGGCTTGTTTTGCAAATTTTTTATCATTAAAGAAAATTATTATTTTTAATTTTGTTTTAAAAATTGTTTTAAAGACCTTTTAATGGATAAACTTTAAATTTGGAATTACTATAATTGTACAGAAACGAGAGATAAAACCTTATGTAAACAATGGGCAAAAAGAATTAA